TGTGTATGTAGAGAATCCTACATAATAAATGTTGTGTATGTAGAGAATCCTACATAATAAGTGTCGTGTGTGTAGAGAAACCTACATAATAAATGTAGTGTATATAGAGAATCCTACATAATAAATGTTGTGTGTATGTAGAGAATCCTACATAATAAATGTTGTGTATGTAGAGAATCCTACATAATAAGTGTCGTGTGTGTAGAGAAACCTATGTAATTAATGCAGTTTGTGAGGTAAGTTACTTAAGAAATGTAGCGTCTGTAGGGTAACCTATATAAGAAATGTAGAAACTGTATAGTTATGTGCATAACAAGTACAGTGCATATATGTGTGTGTGTGTATTGTAATTTACATACTAAATGTTGTATACATGGTATACTAGTGTATGTGCTTTTATATTTTTACTTCTTTATTTTTCTTCTTATAGCATTTTAGTTTTTGTCAAACATACTTAGGTTCAAAATATTGGTAAATTTCACAATTTCTTGTGCTCGTAATACAAATAAAACTCAAAGAAGCATTTGAAGATACAAAAGGAAATAACTGCGTTTAGAACAACCTAACTAAGAATGGCCTGTCTGATCTCCTTAGTCTTTATTTTATTTTTGTGTGTGTTTATAATAATATTAAACAAAGATGACTTTATTTATTATATGCAGTCTATTTTGATTTCAGATGCAAAGACACATGAAAAAATCTTTATTGGACATCATCTGAAAGAACATCAGAGAATACTTACTGGTGACAAAATACATACTTGTATAGTATGTAGTAAAATATTTATAAGTGAAAGTCTCCTAAGGAGTCACCAGAAAATGCACACCGAGGAGAAGCCATACAGTTGTGATGTATGTGGCAAAGGATTTGCATATAAAAGTAACTTAAAAAGTCATGAGAAGATACACACTGGAGAGAAGCCGTACAGTTGTGATGTATGTGGCAAAGGATTTTTAAATTACAGTCGTGTAAAAATCCACGAGAAGATACACACTGAGCAGAAACCATACCACTGTGTTGTATGTGGCAAAGAATTTGTGACTAAAAATTACTTAAAGATTCATGATAAGATACACACTGGGGAGAAACCATGCAGTTGTGTAGTGTGTGGTAAAAAGTTTATAAGTGAAAGTTACCTAAGAAGTCATGAGAAGATACATACTGGGGAGAAACCTTATAGTTGTGCAGTATGTGGTAAAGGATTTGCGCATAAAAGTAACTTAAAGCATCATGAGCATATACACACTGGAGATAAGCCATACAGTTGTGCAGTATGTGGAAAAGGATTAAGTAAAAATGGTCTTAAAATTCATGAGAAGACTCACACTGGTGAGAAGCCATACAGTTGTTTACTATGTGGTAAACAGTTTGTAAGTAAAAATAACCTCAAGAAACATAACCGGATACATACTGGTGAGAAACCTAACCGTTGTGTTGTATGTGGTAAAGAATTTTTAAGTAAAAGTAACATGAAAATTCATGAGAAGATACATACTGGGGTGAAGCCATACAGTTGTGTATTATGTGGCAAGGAATTCTCAAGTAAAACTGGTCAAACAATTCATGAGAAGATACACACTGGGGAAAAACCTTACAGATGTGTAGTATGTTGTAAACAATTTGTATGTAAAAGTAAGTTAAAGAGTCATGAGCAGATACACACTGGGGAAAAGCCATACAGTTGTGTAGTATGTGGTAAACAGTTTGTATGTACAAGTAACTTAAATATTCATGAGAAGATGCATACTGGAGAGAAGCCATTCAGTTGTGTAGTATGTGGTAAACAATTTGTGTGTAATAGTAACTTAAAGACTCATGAGCGGATACACAGTGGTGAGAAGCCATACAGTTGTGTAGTATGTGGTAAACAATTTGTAAGTAAAAGTAACTTAAAGCATCATGAGAAGATACACACTGGGGAGAAGCCTTACAGTTGTATTGTATGTGGCAAAGATTTTTCAAGCAAAAATAGTCAAACAAATCATGAAAAGATACACACTGGAGAAAAGCCATACAGTTGTGTTGTATGTGGTAAACAATTTGTATGTAAAAGTTATTTAAATGCTCATGAGAAGATACATTCCGGTGAGAAATCATACGGTTGTGTTATGTGTGGTAAACAATTTGTAAGTAAAAGTAACCAAAAGAGACATGAGAAGATGCACACTAGGAAATCTTAAAGCAGGGTGATTAAATCAATTACCTATGAACAGGAATTTCATCAATTAATGTCACAAAGTAACTGATTAATTGAAATTATTGTTACATCAATTAATACCAGGAAAATAATCAACTACCCCAAACTAGAATTTCCAGTGATTACTGTTTTTGATTACTCCAACTAGCTTTTTTCTTTTCTTACTTCAGGTATAAGGATTGATCCATCAGTTTGGGTGCTCTAGGTATAAGGCTTGATCCATCGGTTTGGGTGCTCCAGGTATAAGGCTTGATCCATCAGTTTGGGTGCTCCAGGTATAAGGCTTGATCCATCAGTTTGGGTGCTCCAGGTATAAGGCTTGATTCATCAGTTTGGGTGCTCCAGGTATAGGGCTTGATCCATCAGTTTGGG